TGGGCGCCTGGGCGCCCATTTAGGCTTCTTAAGTCTGATGATACTGTATGATTACATCATTTGAGTGATAAGCGTCATGGGAAGCTGTTGTGGCTGATCAGCAGTTGCACTACATATTCGTTCGGAACAATCACTCACCCAATTTCTTACTTAGAAAATTTGCCAAGGTCGCTCTCTTCCAGCGTAGTATGTATAGTAGCATTACCAACATCCGTGGACTAATGTCTATGGCACGGAAATCAAGTTTGTATCAATACGGTCATCACGTCTCCTAAAGCTATCGTAAACAGGTCATCGTCTGGCCAGACGAACTGATCACCTGATGCGGCTTACTGACGGCAACGCTTCCCGGTTGGATCTGACGGCTGAACATACAAGCATCATGCTGCCTCTGGATTCTTGGTCAGTTTGAAATGGCCGGGCACTCTGTGACCCCGAGATGGAGACCCGTTTTGCGTAGGACCATATAGGAGCCGGTTTGCTTGAAACATGGCCGCGATGTGACACATGAGGGAGATGACTATTGCTTGTCGTCAGGGTGTCAGAACATGGAATACAGGGTTTGTCATGTCTGCTCTCTGGAAGAGTTTGATGACTGACCGTTTGATCTCTTCCTAGCTAATTGACTCGTAATTCGTTCGTTAGAATTCATTGGCTTGCTTCACAGCCGCCAGTACATACTTATTTCTGGGGATAGAACGTTCGCCACCATGAGACACGACTAACAGAGTCAAGCACGACCACAAAATTTGCATCTCCGATACTATGAAGTCTTCACAATCATCACTGCCAGCTCAATTGCTATGGGACATGTTGGAATGTGCCAGAAATGGCAAAGACCAAATGGATCTCATCGCACGGCCGGAACAATTGTACAAGGAACATGTCGGCACCATCAAGATCCTATTAGATAAAGCTTTTGGACAGTTTTTGCAGTCTCAGGAACCCAGCGAGCAGTACAGGAAAGAGATTGCGAGGTATGCTGGCGAGCTGAAAGCTCTCGAGGAGAACCGTTCAAACCATCTGGCGAAGATCAAGCAAGCATACGATAACCAAGCCGACGCTGCTCTGCAGATGGTATGCGACAAGCTGCTGCCGATCATGGGGCCAATCCGGGTTAGGAAAGCGTTGCAAAATATTCCAACAGAAGACCTAAAGGACTATCTCCCGGCAAGTGCGCAATGCGGCGATCAAAAATCTATTGTTGAAGCCCCATCCGGGTACACCACGACGGAACGCGACGAACTTGGTAGAGTATGTAACATTTTCTCATACACGTCGGCTGATATGGTAACAGAAGCAGAACAGGCCAACAATTAGGGACACGAATTCCGTTGGGATCCAAAACCAAAGCCCCACGCAAGAGAACGGACGGCATTCGGCAGGTATACGACGCCGCTTCAGCAAGAGCAATGCCGCTGAAACAACTGCTCAATCAAAGAGGCAGAGGACACATAACGACAATACTACCCAAGCACCAGAGAGCTGTGTCCAAGAACTGGAGCCTCACGAGGGCGATGAGCAGTCCAGCAACCAGGTTGAGCTGCTCAGCACACCACAAACCCCAGACTCCACGGGCGTTCGTATCCAGATATCTCAGGAGAACAAAGACGCATCCTCCATTTCACTTGTCCTCGCAGCCTCAGAACACTGTGCAGCGACCGGAGACGTCCAGACTCCTTCCAAAAACACCGTCCCGGTCAACATGACTGTCGTTGATGCCGATGAATGCGTGATTGGGTCTTTGGGCACAGTTGAGCCCTGGAATGATCACATTGCAGCGATTCTGAGGATTCCCGTCGTAAGGACGATCAAAATCCGCCGCGGGCGGCACTTCACCATGGACCATCTGTCCAAAGTCTGCGACCGGTCTGACCCCAGGGGTGTAAGAATACTCGCCTGCATGATCCAAGCCGGAGGTAAAATTATGGAGACGCGCTGCGGTCACTGCAGAGGGAATCGAGGGACTTTCGAACACTGCATCGTGCTTGACGGCCCTCTTTTCACCAGGTGCGGCAACTGCGAGTGGGCGCGCCAGCGATGCCATGGTGCGTCTGGACCTTCCGCCACGGAACAAGGCAGAGATGATAACGCCCAGAAAGGATGTGGTATCGGCACGAGCGAGGGTGTGGCAGCTGAGCACACCAATCCATACTGGGAGATTGGCCAAATCAAAACAAGGCATTTCGCCAGCCCTGAATCCGTCAAGCAGTGCTTGAGCTGGGTGGAAGACGATGAATACTTCAAACACTGGGTCGTCATGGGTCCCGATTATGGACAAGTGGGAGTCCTACGGGAGCCCGTGGATTTCAACATTCAGCTGAAAGACATTTCAGAAGTCAAATGGAATTCATGCATTGTACAAGTCAAGATGAAACAGGCGGATTCAACGACGCCCACGGTCGAACGGCCAGCTCCAGGCGATATCATGATAGCTTTTGGAGAGCCGAGAACGGTGCTTGAATTTGTGGAGTTTTGCCGACGTCGAGGCCTCAATGAGACCAACGAAGAAGCGTGAGTGAAAGTTCGGCCATTCAATTTCGCAGCCCGTCGTGGTGTCGTTTCTTGCCTATCCCGACTAACATTCTGTACAGAGAAGAGATGGCACGAACGTGGCTGAACATGAAATCTCAGACGCTTCTGTCTCATGAGCCTGTTAGTCTTGACACCATCTGAGGACTTTATCGTCAGTCAATTTCGCCTGCGTGTGTTGACATCGGTGGCACAATGTGGCTGGAAATTCATAACCATCTGATTTTGCAAAAGGAGCGGCCTGCGTCTTTCGGCCGCACTAAGCCATTCGCAGCATGTACATGAGGTCGTGAGCCGGTGACAAAGATAACAATCTCATTCAAGAGTTCATATTAGTGTAATAAATGGTCCCTTGCCCCGTAATATCAACATCGATTTTGAAATGTTTCTCGAATCTTGATGCCTCAAACCCACAGTGAAACCGCAGAATCGTCGTTGAGCAGGTGTGCCTGATCCATTGAGTATAGAAAGAGATGTTTTGGAGCCGATATTAATACAATGCCCTTTCCCAACGTCCTCACCGCGAGTCACATCTAGTTGGCATCCTGTTGATCAATTTCATCATGTAATTTGTTACACAGTACTCAGACACACCCACCCCGAGTTCTACGGGGCCTTTGAAACGGGTCGTTGAGGCCTTAGATGTCTGAACGGAACAAAGATAGACTGTGAAAATCACCCAAACCACTCACTGTACAATATTCTACATGGCAACCTAGCTCACACCGAGTTTCAACACAACACCGCATCGTTTGGCCTTTAACAGTGTTGCTTGCTCCCGGCCTGGAACGAACTCTTTCATTATTGTTTGCAAGTGCGAGAAAGAGATTTTCGCCGAGCATTTCTCGAAGCAGTATCTCTATGAGCCTTGCCCGTCCTATGAGTCTGTCCGTGCGGGTAGCCGACTTGACCGTCGACAAGCCTTCTCACCATTACGTCCATTTTCTCTATTCGCAGGACAAGATCACATACTGCTAGATCTAACCTGACCAGTTCTTTCACCGGATCTAACCCCTCGCTTTGTGGGAGACAGCTTTCCTCAAGGGGCGACGAACACGGGGGTACGGCCGCTGTCCCTATTGCCCCGTCGGAAGGCTTGACGACTTGTGTTGAGTTATGACTCTCTTCTCTGATGATCTCCCCCACCTCCCAAACGGGCCGCTCTGGAGGCTGTAAAAGGGTTGAAGGATCGTTACCGACATGGCATGGCATGACGATTGGCAACTTGGGGCCTGCTGTGTACGATGTGTTCGGCGGTGGCAAGGTAATCGATGATAAATGTGCTCGAACAAGCTCCATGTCACCGGCGTCGGCAGCAAGCATCGCCTTGTGGCATACTGTCCTGGTCTCTTTAATCTCTCGAAGCAGGCGCTGCCATTCCTTCCCACGCTTTTCTCTGTGCTTCCGCTGTGCCAATCTATTGGCTGTCTTCCTTCTTTCTTGCTTACTTTCGACGTTTTTGCGCGGTGCCTCCACAGGACCTTTTCCCATCATGTCTGGCATCGATATCTCACATCACTCAGTCGAAATATGGCCAACATTCTGTATACTTCATGGTGCGGGTGTCACTGAGGGACTCACCGTTATATATTTGCTAAGACCACCCTCAGGCAAAGCCTGGTGAGAATCTAACAAAGCGATGCCATGTGGAATTAGCAAATTAGGAGCTTGAAAATAGTGTACTTACGATCTCAATCTCCTGTATCACCGCGTGCTGCATTTCTCAAGCACGCAGTGGTTACATCGAGAAGCAACAGGCACATGCAACGCCCGGCATTGAATCTACAAGGATTGCGTGATACAGTAACACCTCGATGACGAAGGCTGCAAAGGCAACGCCACTCTTCGCGAAACATGAATAAGAATATTTGTCACTGGAATAAGCGTACCGAGCTACAGGAGAGGTGGACGGAGGGGGTAGTCACCGCAATGGTTGTGTTCAGCGAAACTCTGGTTTTTGTCCCCGTCCCATAACTCCAGATTGAATGTCTTTTCAAATCAGGTTGTGCGTTGGGTAGCCAAACTCTGCCAGTATTCAAGGCGAGTTGCACATATACACATCACCACACGAGCTTGCTCTCATTGCAGACGTCGCCTTGTATGCTCTCTGTCCACAACCGAACGCCCACAGGAGCCCACATCCACGCACCCAACAGTCTTGATTTCTCATAAAGTTCTTTATCGTATTGGTGATTGAGAACTGGGATTTGATCATGACCAGAATACACGCGGGATTACATGAAGCGATGAAGTATTGTATTAATACAGTCTCTTGCTTTCGTGATGACAATATTGCTAGACGAAATATCGCGATGCAATATTTCACCCTTGTACAGTACATAACATGATCAAGTTATTATAATAAGAGTTGTAGTGTAATATAATACATGAATGGTTGGTTGCCATCTCCTTGCGATAGAAGTATTCTACTCTAAATACAGTAAGAGGCGTTATTACAGTACTGTCGCGGATTTTGGTACATAATATAAATAGCGAAACCCACCTCTAGTCCACATGTAGTTTAGCGTAGAGAATAAAGGTACCTCCAAGTCTTTCAACAGAGCCTGAATAGACGATTCTCGCTGGGGGCCAATGCTGCCCACAGACGTGCCGAAGTCGTTGCAATTGTTGCTTTTTCAATAAGTTGAATGTCTGTGGTTCGTGTGTTAAATTATATTTGCGACAAACGCAGCCGGTGTGAAACTTGAGCTGCGGGATCCGGAGATCCGTCGTCAAGCGGTGTCAGCGTGTCTGGGTACTGGAGGTTAATTGTGTGGGACGGTTTCGTGAGCTTTGCTCTTGCTGATAGTGCGAAGCCGTGTAGTGGCAACGCATGATTTGAGTGGTTTGTGGAGCAGCGACCACTGTTGATAGCAGCCAGAACGGAGAACTATAGGCCCAGCTTACTGTGCATTGGTGGAGCCCCTCTTTGTCGTGGGAGGTGTTGAACGTCACAGCGGA